CTGTAGACACTTCTTGGTACCAGTGGTATGGCATTTGAAACTCGTGTGTCTCTTTGAAGTTGGTATTTTACGTTTCGGCCGTAATCAAAGGAGAAGAAATGCTGAGCTGATGTATCTGGAATGTCTTTTTTCGCTACCCTCTGGAACGAATAAAGACGCAATCTGCCAGTTTATGCTGATCACAAGACTGCAGTATATAGTCAGATTTTTACTACGTAAAATATCAGGTTACCTACCTAGAAATTTGCCTTTACTCGAAAGGTATAATTCGAATAAAGAAAATGAATGCCCGACTGTCTTGTTACAGTCCCATGATAGATGTATCCATGAATGAACTTTATAATGGGTGTGTTCTTCATCAAAAACATTGGTGTCACAGAATTGAGAAGTATGAAATGTCTACTTCTAATAGCACGCATAGAGATAGAGAAATTTATGGAATTACAAAATTTAGGTCCGAAAACAAATACACATGGAAGCCAGTGTTAGATGAGAGTATACTATTAAAACCCTTCCATAAACAAGATGCGAATTTGCGGAGTGAATTGACGTGCGTGAGAATTTGGCCAGTGACAGGCGTTTGTGAACACTGTAGTGGACACTGGGCAGAGATATTTTTATCAATTGAGTGTTTGTTAGCTTTCTGAGGAAGTGTTAGTTGAGATGTCACTTTGTTTCTTTCAATTGTCTTTTGTAGGATACATCCGATTAGTAAGTTTCGCTTAATGACATTATTCTGGCATGAAATTTAGGTTTTCCAATAAGAAATTTTATATAAATATGTTAACGAGAAGGAAGCCTGATATTATGCCGATGTTAAACAAAACATATTTTTAAATACACAATTCTGTTTCATTTGTTCAGTTTAAGAGAAAATTTTATTTCGTATTTCCAGTACAATTTTTTGTAACAACGTTCATTGAATATGTATGATCTTGAGTATAGTATTTACAGGAAATGTTCATAATCTACACAACTCGCACGTCTCCAAGTATACTGATATCAAACATTTCCATTGAGTATAACTGTAGTTTATATCTGTAACGATTGAATATTTTCAAGGTCACACGGACTGCAAGTAATAAGCATTCTCGCAAGATGTCTCCACAGAACAATTTTTTCCTGCTTCTCACAAATCCAGTTTCCTTACGGTTTACTCACGAATCAGAAAGGGGGAGATAAACAGGAATAAAAAGAATAAACAAAGGGCAGTTGAGGTTCAAAATCACTTCTTTTTTAACTGAGACATAAAAGAATCCTACTTCTGTACAATGTCATGATATATTCTGAGAATCAGAGAAGAAGTGTAAGATGTTTGACAGTTATTAATTACACAGGATTGTGCCCAATGGCTTGCTTTGGTATTAACGTTGTTGGGCCTTCGGGTCATACGACGACATTCTGAGTTACCTACACCCGGGTATCCCTAGTATTTTTTTCTTTCAGTTTTTCCGACAAACAATATATATTGCCTGAATATAATCTCACAAAACGCCTCTATTTGAGACCAGGGGCTTCCAAATTTGAAAACTCAGTAATTATATTTTTTTTTTATTTGTTGTGTTCTGTCTGACGACAGGTCCATATATTATGAACAGGATCCTTCCAACCTCTTCAGGTTGTCAGGGATCTGCTCATACATATATACATTCTTGGCAGAGATGATCAGAAGTGGTTTGCCATTGCCTTCTTCTGTGTGTGAGTGGAGTAATTGTTGGGATGCCACGGAGAAACCGGGGAAGCCCCCGGAGGAAAACTCCGTGATGCCTAGACCACGGCCTTGCCCAACACAAGTTATAAATTTGAGCACCACCGGGAATTGAACCCGGGACCCCAGGCTTACAAGGCTAGTGTTCTGACCGCTAGACCACCGTGGCGAACAGTAATTATATAAGAGTAATAAATTATGTATATTTATGATCATGGTTGGGAAGCGTGACTTCTGTAGCGGCCTGTTGTGAGTAATTGATCGTCTGATTCCTTAAAATTTGTAAAAGTTCATGACCGGCTAAGTGACTATGGACATCTCCACAAAGAATAAGAAAACTGTGCATTTCGTATGTACCGTATTTCCTCGGTTTTAAGACACGTTTTTTACGTTTTAAAATTTGTGAAATCTGGATGTGTCTTATATTTTATGAAGTACGAGGAACCGATAAAGCGTCCTTTTCTTGAAAATCAATTACTAAATCAAAGGTTTGTCTTGCAATCGATGGCGTCTTAAAATCGAGAAAATACGTTATGTGTATTATCCTCTGATATTATTTAATATATAAACAGTAAATTTCCTGTCAATAATGACGGAATGATTTAAAATAGTAAACACACATTCATAAATATTATCCACGGGGACAAAAATCTCTTAACAGCAAATGATCACCAACCTACCTACCAACAGTTGTTTGTTATAAAGGGAGATCTTGCCTTTATCTTCAGGGTACGGAATGCTACGTAGTACTTGAGGAGACGCATACGCGCAGTGCAGTAGCACATGGGGTCCGACATCCAATGAAGGCAGCTAGTTGTTCCTCTGATGTTTAAAAAGTTACAATACTCTTCCCTTCTCTTCACAATTTTTGTTATGCGTCTACGTTCTGCTATTTTTTGAAGGGAGAAGTGGAACTTGAAAACCACTTTTCAGAATGACTCGAGTGAGTTTCGCTTTTCCCTGTCTGTTCCCATATTTCTGCTTTCAAGTACTACCATTTGCTGTTTTTACCTTCCTGGCAGAAACGTAAAGTAGATATAGCTATAGTGAAGTGTCGGACGAGAGGGGATGCAGGATGAAAAGGAAGTTGAAGGGATGGCAGGAGGAGACCAACAAAAAGT